ATTTACTAGCAAAGCTTTAATTTTAAAGTAAAACCCATGAGAGCTATTTTTCCTTTTCCTTTATATATTAGTTATTTTTGAGATAATGGTCTCACAGCATAGCCCAGCCCTGAACTTTTCAAACTTCTATCTCAGTCTCTTGATTCCTCGGATTCCAAGTGTGCACCAGCAGCTTCACTCCTGAGTTTCCATTCTTCCTGAACAGTAGGAGGAAGCTTCCTCCGGATCTCAGGCCACAGAGCAGTGAAACTGTCTTACTTTTGAAAATTGTTTTTAAACAGGGGGAATACTGATCCTAGGCTGCAATCCTGGGTGACTGCTTCCCAGGTCTGTGACCTTGGCTGGGTAATCTTTGAGCCTAACATTTCTAATCAGTAAAATGGGAATAATAAAACATAGTTGTGGGCTGGCAAGATATTTTAAGTTTAAAGATTCTCACCTCCAAGTCTGACAGTCTGAGTTTAATCCCTAGGACCCACATGGCAACAGGAGAAAACTGATTCCTTCAAGTTGTCTTCTGACCTCCATAATCACTCTGTGACATACATGCACAAACACAGAAAAATAAATAAATAAAACAATTTTAAAAATGAAAAACTTGAGGGAAAAAGGATGTATGAGCTCTAGAAATAATATAGGGACCCACAGAGGCAGGTGGATCTCTATGAGTTTGAAGCTAGCCTGGACTACAGAGAGTTCCAGAACAGAGAAGCCCTGTCTCAACATTGTCTTTAACTCCCTCTTCTCCTGCCCTCTCCTCCTCCCTGTCTGTCTTTCTTTCCTTGTGTGTATGCACGCACATGCCACAGCATGTGCGGCACTCAGAGGACAATGTGCAGAAGTCAGTTCTCCTCTTCCACCATGTGGGTTCTGGGGACCAATCTCAGGCTGCCAGGCTTGGCAGCAAGTGCCTCTACCCATAGTGCCTTCTTGCTAACCCCCAAATGCTTTTTATTTTTTAAAGACTTATCTATCTATCTATCTATCTATCTATCTATCTATCTATCTATCTATCTACTTATTTATTTATTTATTTATTTATTTATTTATCTATTTATTTATTTATTTATTTATTTTGGCCAGGCAGTGGCACACACCATTAATCCAAGCACATGGGAGGCAAAAGCAGGAAGATCTCTATGAGTTTGAAGCCAGCCTGGCCTACACATTAAGTTTCAAGACAGCCAGGGATACACAGAGAAACCCTGTCTCAAAACAAAAGACTTATTAATTTATGTGTATAGGTGTTTTGTCTGTATATATGACTGTGCCTGGTGCCCACAGAGGACAGAAGAAAGCTTCACACAGAGACAGAGTAAGAGACTGTTGTGAGCCAGAGGGTGCTGGGAAGCAAACCTAGGTCCTTTGTAAGAACAAGTGCTCTTAAGCTCTAAGCCATTTCTCCAGTCTCTATATTAAAAACAAACCAGAAGTGCCATGTTTGCTATAACATGGACATAGTAAACTTGAAGAACATGATGCAGAGTCACAGTAACCAAGTCACATGTCTCCATTTGTATGACATAGTAAATCTCTGTAGACAGAAAAGAGACGAGCAATTACTCAGAAGATCAGAGATGGGACACGTGGAGCGACTGTCTAAGGTGCAAAGTTTCCTTTGGGGTGATAGGAATGTTGTAGAATCTAAATACTAACATTGTTAATGTACTTAATTTAAATTTTTTGTTTAATTAACTAATTACTTAATATTTAATTAGTTAATAAGCTGTTTTGATGAAACACCATGACCAAAGCATGGTCATTCAGAAGGAAAGGTAAATCCCAAAGTATAACACTTTTGGCTTGCTTACACTTCCATAGCACTGTTCATCATTGAAGGAAGTCAGTACAGGAACGAAAACAGGGCAGAATCTTGGAGGTAGAAGCTGATGCAGAGGCCATGCAGGGGTGCTGCTTACTGGCTTACTCCCCATGGCTCCCTCAGCCTGCTTTTTTATACAACCCAGGACTACTGTAATGCCAAGGTTCACGGGACCCTCAGAGACCACCAGGAGGCGACTCGATGCAATGGCAAGAGAGCTTTATTATGAGAGCGATCGAACTTGGGACCCAAGTCTCTCTGACACAGCAGTAGAGAAGTGGGACCCTGAGCTCTGAGTTAACAGGATTTTTAAAGGGAAAGTCTGTGATCAGGGGGTTTCCATGGCAGCAAGCAGGGGGGCACAAGTCTTGGCATTACAGAATTGGGTGAAGTTTAGCAGGATGGGGTGACCTTTTCTGAAGCACACAATCTCAATGGCTAAGGCATATAATCACAATGGCTATTTTTCTAAACCACATCTGAAACATTGGGGAAAATTTTCCCACCCGATTCTCAACCGATTCCCATTGATTATTGCCAGGGAGTTTGTCTCTATTTTCTATGAAGCATTTATTCTGTTATATTTCCTGGAGGCTGTTGCTAGGAGAGTTAACTTTGTTTTCTGCCAGGTGTACATTCTGTGATATTTCCTGGTACCTGAATTCAGTTCCCAGTCAAGATCTTTATTTCAAAATGGAGTTATATTCAGGCTAACTTAAGCTCTTCACCACTGGCCCAGGGGTGGTACTACCCACAGTGAGCTGGGCCTTCCCTAACGATCACTAATTAGGAAAATTCCCTACAGGCTTGCCTATAGCCTGATCTCATGGAGGCATTTTCTCAGCTGAGGTTCCCTCCTCTCGAGAGGAGGCTAACTTAAACTCTTCCCTTTACTTTTTTATGTGTCTGTTATGGTATATGCACTTGTGTACAGGTGCTCAAGAATGCATTTAATTCCTCAGAATTGAAGTAACAAGCAGTTGTAAGTTTCCTGATATGGGTGCTAGGAATCAAACTTGAGTCTCCTGGAAATAAATGCAATTCACACTTTTTTGTTTGTTTTTGTTTTTCAAGACAGGGTTTCTCTGTGTAATAGCCCTGGCTGTCCTGGAACTCGCTCTGTAGACCAGGCTGGCCTTGAACTCTGAGATCCACCTACCTCAGCCTCTCACGTGTTGGGATTAAAGGTATGTGCCACCACCGCCCATTTTGAAGTTCAAACTCTTAACCAACAAACCATCTCTGCAGCCCCAGGACCTGGTATCTCTTTAATGGTGCCAATGTTTTCATTTAAATGATAACAACCTGGTTGTTAATGATTGTTGCAAAGACCATGGGTGGTCATAAATCTGTATACACTTGTGTGAGGATTTCTGTAACAGAGTGTCTAGAACTGTTGTGTTCAGTGGTATCTTGGGGTGGTTGTACACACAAGGACTGGGGACCAATCTGGTAGGGGTCCCGGGGACTTGTTATAAGGGATAATATCTGATAATTTAAAAATTTTTTGATACAGGGTTTCCCAGCATAGTCCTAGTTGGCCTGCAACTTGTTATGTAGGCCATGTAGACTAAGCTCACTTCAAACTCACACTGACCCACCTGTCTCTGCCTTTCATACTCAACCAAAAGATAGATTTAGTGTGAGTGTGTGTGTGTGTGTGTGTGTGTTTGTATCTGCATGTAAATATAAGTGCCTGAGGGCAGAAGAGGGTTCCAGATGCCCCAGACCAGGAGACACAGCCTTGTTTGGAAGCAATTCCTCTTGTGATATGGTATGTAACTCACGTTACCCTTACTATATAGCTAAGGATGACCTTTAGCTCTTGCCTCCACCTCCAAAGTGCTGGGATCACAGGTGTGCTCCACCATGCCTTCTTATGTGCATAATTAAATGTACATGAAGTGAGTCTTGGTGGTACAGACCTGTAGTCCCAGGACTTGGAGGCTGAGGCAGAAGGACTGCCTTGAATTTGAGGCCAGCCTGGGCTACACAGTTCCTTCCTTCACCCTCTTTCTCTTTCTGTGGTCCTGGGAATCAAACCCAGGGTCTATTGTATGCTAAGCATATGTTCTACCATTAAGCTGCAATCTGAGTCCTACAGAGGACTTGGAGAAAGGAAACCAGAGCATAGTTGAGAGCCAACATAGCTTGAGTGCATGTTCAGTGCCAACTTCTATTGGGAACTTCATTCACGTTTCTTATTTAAAATATTTATTTTTATTATTTTATGTGTATGTGTATTTGCCCATGTGGATGTATGCCACATGGGTTCATGTGCCTGAGGATGCCAGAGCTCCCATAGCTGGAGTTACAGACAGTTGTGGGCCTCCTGACACAGATGCTTAGAATTGAACTTGGGTCCTTTAGAAGGGCAGCAAGTATTCCAAATTGCTGAGACATTTCTCCAGTCCTGATTTTTATTTTTTGAGTTATGGTCTCTTGCAGCCCAGGCTGGCTTCTTAGATCCTTTGCCTCTTCCTCTCATGTGATAAGGTTACATGGGTGTGACATGATGCTAGTTTATTTGGTGCTAGAGATAGAGCCTAGGGCTTTGTGCATGCTAAGCAGTCACTCTGCCAACTCAGGGCCATCCCCAGCCCTGGGATGGGCACTGCATAACAGCCTATCCCACCCGGATGGGTAACAACCACACAAAGTGGAGAGTCATCTTGTTCTATTTACTTCTTACTTTTTTTGGTGGTAGCAGAAATGAAACCCAGGGCTTCATGCAAGGTAGGTGGGTACTCTACCACTGAGCTATACCCTCAGCAGTGTTCCTGTTTAACATAAAGGTTAGAAAAGGTCACAAAGCTCAGAGCAAGAACGCAACCCCAGGCCTGTTGGTTGCCAGGTACCCAGTCTTATCTGAATGACTTCCTAAGTGAAACAGTGATATTGACACAGAAGAGAAGCCAAAAGTTTTTCTGGACTTTGGACTTTGCATTTGACATGCCAAGTTCTTTTCTTGTAGAAGCTGGCTGTCCTTGCTCCCTTCAGAGCACCCTACCAGCTCACGGGCATCCCCTTGCCCTTGGAGAGCTAATGGAAACCTATCAAGTGTCACATAAGCATAAATTACAACGTGTCCTGCCTCCAGCTTTATGGACTCCTCCGGCATTTATTCCCATGTGCCTATACATCTCTGTTCTAACCTCAGTTTCCCTACTTCTTCTAGGACCAGTGGAGAACAAATGTCAAGAACTCTTGTGCACATGTGACAAGGAACTTGCTTACTGCCTCGTAGGGACAGAGTACCACCTGAAATACCTCTTCTACCCCTCGGTTTTATGTGAAAAGAACTCACCTAAGTGTGACTGACAGGCTATTTGTTTGCACATGGAAATGAAGTTCGCTTTCAGTAATAAACAACAGCCCTCAATTTCTCCAGAAGTCATCGGAGGTCAAGTAATAAAGAAAGCTGTGAGCCTTGCCAGGCATGGTGGCACATGCCTGTAATCCCAGCACTTGGGAGGCAGAGGCAGGCAGGTCTCTGTGAGTTTGAGGCCAGCCTGGTCTACAGAGTGAATACAGGACAGCCAGAGCTACTACACAGAGAAACCCTGTCTCAAAAACAAAACAACAAAAACAACTAAAAAAAAAAAAAAAAAAAAAGCTGTGAGCCTTGTGTTTGTTTTTTCAGTCACTCAGGACTTTGAGCCTGTGGGGCTGCTAGTTTGATGAAGGTGGAAAGTCCTGGGCCTATTTTATACAACTAACATTGTGTTGGTCTTGAACTTTTTGAAGTTCAACCCTTATGTACTATCTTCTAACCTCCTGCTGATGGCTGGTGGTCAAATGTGGATGAACACCTGTTTACAGGCTTGGCTGTGGTAATAGAATTGCCACATGATACACCTAAGATTTGTTACTGTAATAAAAAGACACTCCCCCACCATTCTCCATCTTTTTTTTTTTTTTAATAAGATTTATTTATTATTTATACAACATTCTGCCTACACACCAGATCTTACTGTGGGTAGTTATAAGCCACCATGTGGTTGCTGGGAATTGAACTCAGGACCTTTGGAAGAACAGTGAGTGTTCTTAACCTCTGAGCCATCTCTCCAGTCCCATTCTCCATCTTTTAAGAGGTAAATTTTATTTCTTGGAAGCTGGGTATAGTGGCACACACCTGCAGTGCTCTGCTGAGGAGGCTGAGGCTGAAAGGTCAATTTGAGCAGGACAGAAGACAAAGAAAATTACTCCCTGGGCTGGTGGTACACTTGTATGTTAAAAAAAAAAATCTATATATCTATATCTATATCTATCTATATCTATCTATCTATCTATCTATCTATCTATCTATCTATCTATCTATATTTGTGCAGCATGCCTGAGGTCCTAAGTTTGATTCTTAACATTTCAAGACAAAAAAATTAAAAAAAAATGTAGAGCAATTTATAAAGCATTAGAATGTGGACTCACAGGCCAGGAGAAGGGCTCAGAGATTACTAGTGCTTTCTGCACTTCCAGGGGACCTGAGTTCAGCATGCATATCGTTTAGTTCCAGAGAATTAGCTTTGGCTCCAGAGAATCTGGCACATCTGGCTTCTGCAGGTACCTGCCTGCACCTGCCCACATACATGCTTTCACACTCACACACCCCACAATTAAAAAAAAAAAAGATATTTTTAAAGAGAAAACATGCTAAGGCTTTGGGATGGAAGAAGGAAATGTTAGCCTTTACCGGCTTGCCCCCGCTCTAGGCAGCAAGCTCACTGGCTAGAGCCTGCTTCTCTGGGATTTGGGTATACACTGAAGATCAGCTGAGACTGGCCAGACTGAACAACTACTGGATTCTTGGACTTTCCATACATAGGCAGTCATTGTCAGATTAGCTGAACCGTAGCCTAAAAGTCATTCTACTAAATCCCCCTTCTATAGAGAGAGTCCTTAACTTAAGAAAACCCTGACTAGTACAGATTTTGGTCCAAGAAGTGGTTCTAGAACAAAAGAAGTATACGGATGAATTTTTTTTTAAGTGAAGTCATTTATTTACTTATTTAGGATTTATTTATTTATTTTGTACACATTGTTTTGCCTGCATGTGTGCCTGCAGTCCAGAAGAGGACATCAGCTCTTACTATAGATGGTTATGAGCCACCATATGGTTCCTGGGAATTGAACTCAGGACCTCTGGAAGAACAGACAGTGCCCTTAACCGCTAAGCCATCTCTCCAGCCTAAGGATGAAATTTTTAAGTATTTGGAATAAGGCTGAGGAGATGGCTCTGCTCTTCCAGAGGTCCTGGGTTCAATTCCCAGCAACCACATGGTGACTCACAACCATCTATATTGGAGTCTGATGCCCTCTTCTGGTGTGTAGGCATACATGCAAGATAGAGCACTCATACATTGAGTGATTCCCAACCACAAGTAATGAGATCTGGTGCCCTCTTCTAGGGTGCAGGTGTACATGCAGTCAAAACACTATACATACTAAATGAATCTTTTAAAAAAATAACTAAAATAATTTATACAAAAAAGTATCTGGGGGGCTGGAAAGATGGCTCAGTGGTTAAGAGTACTGCCTACTCTTCCAAAGGACCCATGTTCGATTCTGAGCACCCACATGACAGCTCAACTGTCTGTAATACTAATTTCAAGGAATCTAACACCTTCACACTAATGCACATAAAATAAAATTAAATAAGTTATTCTTTAAAAGTATCTGCAATAGACTTTAATTCACCAACATCTACAGCTACTGAAGCCTCTTCAGTTATTGAAGCCGATGGTGTGAACTATATTACAAACTTAAGGAGATAAATGTACTTGATTATCCAGATTCACCAATTGTGAGTGGCACAGGATTTGGTGTCCCTGTATATGAAACTTTTGAGAGTTTGAGGGAAAATAAATAAAATGATGAGACGGGTTGCTCCTAGCATCTTAGAATAAACTGACAAAGGATGGGGATGAGTTCTGTGATAAAATTAGCCAACTTCTAGCATCTCAGATACAGTGAAGGTCAACAATAAACTCAGTGATAAAACTGCCTGGCTCTGCATGCATATAAACACTAAAAGTTTAAGTGTGCCCTGGAAAAGAATCTTCTCTCCAGCAGCCACAGAGCTCAAGTTGCAGTCAATTAAATTGAAGCCCTCATTATAGGGTTGGTTGAATTACAGTAAAAAATTTCTAAGTCCCAGCTTCAGAGGGTGTCAGTGGTTAAAGTAAGGGCATTAGCTGGGTAGTGGTGGTCCATGTCTTTAATCCCTGTACTTGGAGGGCAGAGGCAAATATATCTTTGTGAGTTCAAACCCAGCCCTGGTCTAGAGACTGAGTTTTAGAACAGCCAACGCTACACAGAGAAATCCTGGCTTGAAACAAACAAAGGGCATTAATTGCTAAAAAAAAAAAAAAAAAAAGAAAGAAAGAAAGAAAGAAAGAAAGAAAGAAATTAAGAAAGAAAGAAATTAAGAAAGAAAGAAAGAAAGAAAGAAAGAAAGAAAGAAAGAAAGAAAGAAAGAAAGAAAGAAAGAAAGAAAGGGGATTCTTTAACTTGGAATGGGGATGTGCAGAAGGACCCTATTGGAAATGAGAAACTAGAACCCTCAAATTCACAAGGGATTGTCTTAACTTAAAAAAAAAAAAGTCTCAGCCAGGTACGGTGGCGCCTGCTTTTAATCCCAGCGCTCAGGAGGCAGAGGCAGGCAGATCTCTGAGTGTGAGGCCAGCCTGGTCTACAAAAACAAACAAACAAAAAATAGTCTCTCCATCGTCAGAAGAAGCTGTATTTCCCTACCCTCTGAAATACTGAGGAAATTAATCATCTGCTAAGCCAGCAGTGACTCACGGACAGAGATGTCAGCCAACACAATCCTGATGTCCTTCATGGCCCACCAGCTGTTGCCTCTAGACCTATATCCAAACTCAGGGCAAAGCAGGCTTCTAGATGGGAGGTAGAAAGTGTAGTCCATGAGGTGGTACCAAAGAGCTTAATGAGTTTGCTAATTCATTCAAGTGGAAGTCTGGGGAATATGTGTGGGAATGGATTTTAAGGGCGCAAGATAATGGTGGACAGAACAAAAAATTGGATCAAGCCAAGTTTATTGATCTGGTTCGACAGAGTGGAGATTCTAGGTGTAATATAGAAGTTTGCACAGTTTAAAAACAACAACAAAAAAAAGCTATCCAGGAGGTGGAGGATTTGGCAGCGACTTAGGGGCTGAGGTTCTGGCTGTGGCTATGGTCAAGGCCTCGGGGCTTGTGCAGGTAAACCCGAAGACAAGGAGTAAATCTGTCACCAAGCTGGGCCGCCTGCTTACAGACATGAAGTTCAAGCCTTTGGAGATCTACCTGTTCTCTCTGCCCACTAAGGAGTCAAGATTATTGACTTCTTCCTGAGCGCATCCCTAAAGGATGAGCTTCTCAAGATCATACCAGTGAAGAAGCAGACGCAGGCTGGCCAGGGGACCAGGTTCAAGGCTTTTGTCACTTTGGAGACTACAATGGTCACTTTAGTCTTGGTGTTAAGTGCTCCAAGTAGGTAGTCACTGCCATCCGAGAGGCCATCATCTTGGCAAAGCTTTCCATCTTCCCTGTGCAGATGATGGAGAGCCTATTGGGGGAACAAGATTGTTAAGCCCACACTGTTCTGAAATGCAAGGTGACAGGTTGCTGTGGCTCTGTTTTGGTGAGTTTCACCCTGTCCCAAGAGGTACTGCTGTAGTCTCTGCCCCTGTGCCCAAAGAGCCACTGATGATGGCCTCTATAGATCACTGACGCACATTAGCCAGGGTCTGTGCTGCCACTCTGGGCAAGTTTGCCAAGGCCACCTTTGATGCCATGTTCAAGATCTACAGCTACCTGACCCCTGAACTCTGGAAAGAAACTGTGTTCACCAAGTCTCCTTCTTATCAGGAATTCACTGATTATCTTGTGAAAACCCACACCAGAGTCTCTGTTCAGAACCCAGGCTCCATCTATGGCTACCACATTGTGGTTTTCACACAAGAAAAATAAAGTGAAACAGGTTATTGTAAATTTTTAAAAAGTGTTGTGCTATATATTATTAGCCCTAGGATTATCACTGTGGTATTAGTTAACCCACTATCACAAATAATAAGGCACAGATACCTGTTAGATTTTATACTTGCCTTATTTACCTTGAGCAGGGCAGATATTTCACCTAAGCTGGCTCAATAACCTTACCATCCATCTCCCAGCCCCTATCCAATGTCATCATCTACCTTAATCCTCCTCATCTGGTCTACCTTCCATCCATAATCCCATGGTATTTGCTTGTATTCTTCATCTGGGTCTCTTCATGTTATTTTTGGAGTCCTTCCTCTTGGCCCATGTGGTTTGTTTCTC